TAACAAGTTGTCAAATATTAGAAATTCCTTTGCTCCTCATAAACCAAATTAACTGTCTGAGAACCGCAGCTATAAGATACTTTATGGCAATGTTAGTGTTGAATGGTATTGTTAGAGAGTCAATAAATCAAATGTACTATTCGAAAAGAGAAAGCTCAATAACGCTTTTCTTTGGAGAAATATTGAACCCAAAAAGATTTTTATTACTTTATAAATCTCTATATTAAATGATAACAAAAATGTGATCCCAAGCAGCAATCTCTAAAATTGAAACTCCCTTTGGGTATTAATAACTTCTTCGCTGTTGATTTAATTCTTAAACTATCACTTTTAAAAGTTTAATTTTTTCGTATACTGAAATTATTAAAAAAAAATAATTATCTTCCTGAAACCAAAAACAATTTTTTTGAATGAAAGTGAAAGTTCGCATTATCATGCAGATGGAGTCTTGTGCTGTATGGCTTCTAAATCGGTCTTCCGCAAAGCTTTCCTCGATTAAATACCATCGTGACAACCATAATGGAACACATCACTAAATCGATGTACCGAGACAACGCGTTATGTAAACTGATTTTTATACATTTTAACGACATCACGATAAAAATTAAAAGCAGAAAAGATTTTTGTTTTAAAATAAATAAAAGGAGAATTGTTTTAAGAGGAAACCGGTCATTTTAATCTTCCGCTTTCAAACGTAGTCTTAAGACAAGATTTTCTTCTTCCTGCCTCCGTGCTTTATTATTTGTGTCGTAACATTTAACCGAAACTGAACCTCACTTCACTTCACCTCACCTCAATCTTTATAGTGCGGTGGTAAAGATGTCGATTTAGAGAAAGCTGTTGTTCTGATGGAGTCAACGACTACGTTTGTAAATTATGTTTAAAAGGAGTGGCGATGATTCACAAAGAGAAGATGATTCCATTGAAATTAACTGGATTAATAAAAGGTTTTTCGTTGAACGTAGGAAGTTAAAACAGGAAATGGATTCGATATAAAGCGTAAAAGAAAAACTAGTTTTTTATAAATGGAGTTAAGTTTCTCTTGTTAGTTTTGGGATTTAATCTAATGGTTTGTGACTGGAACAGTTTCATTTCGATTTCGCGGATATGTAACTAGAAATTTAGAAATTTTTTAACTTAATCTTAATTCATTAACGGGGGCTTTCCCACGATTTAATCTAAACAGAAGAAAAATGACTATTTTTAAATGTTTTTATAACTTCGATTCGTGAGAATGAATAAATTGAAGAAGAGGTTATTGTTGAAGTAACCCAAGTTTTCTTCATTTCATACAAATAGAAAGGTCAGTTTTACGATAAACTGTGTCACGTTCGTAAATAGGAACGAACGCAAAAATAAATTTATTGAATAATCACGACCATATATGTTATGTTATGGGAAATTTCTCATGAAGATAATCTTTTTATAACCATGTTGTTTATTTATTAGAATTAGAATTATTTGAAAGAGGTTGTGCAATCATTTAATAATTCTAATAGAAAATAGAGCATGTATTGCTGCATTGAAATAACAAAAATATTTATAACGTTTGAAGACAAAATATTCTTTTTTGTAGATTTTTTTATGCAAGATGTATCACTCGAAAATTTATTATAGAAGTATAATAAAAAGTAGTTAGTTGGGTTTGTTTTAGAAGCTTTAACAAAAAATAGTCAGCTTTAATGGTTAGACAACAAGTTTTGTGATGTTGAATTCATAGATTAGCAAGATTGATTATGATGATTGGATTATGTTAAATTGATATCGGAGGCAAAGAAGTTAGGCTAGTTAAGCTATTGAAATTCGAACCAATCACGTTCTATCAGATCCGTTTAGGCATTTCTTTAAATATTGATCAACTACATAATATTGTATTTATAAAGCATTTATACATATTTAGATAAAATGGGATGATATCTACTTTAAACGTCGAGCGTAATGTGGATTTCCGTTAGCGATGTGGATCTAAGCAGGGTAAAAGTTGGTGTGCATAAGAATGCCAACAACAAGTCTGTTTTATCCATATCCTGTTGCTTGGAATGTTGCTTTTGGAGTCTCGTTTAGTCCATATCCCTACCGTACTCCTCTCGACACACTGGTAGTTAGAGGTGCTTGTTATTGATATTGTTTGAGGTGGCAGAAGAGAAGATCCCCTTTTTGATGACTAGATACTGCTACTAGAACATTAAATATTACTGGCAGAAATCTACTGCTCACAGAAACTCAGTTATTGTATACAGAAGACTGAATGCTGTTAATGGACAAGTAAATCCCTCTTATAGAAGACTAGACCTTATAGAACTAAATACTGATTATAAAAAAACAGGTACTGCTGGTAGAAGACTTGATACTGCTTGCAGAACACTAAATAATGTTAACTGAAAGACTTGATCCTCATTAAATACGGTTTATAAAACACTATACTACGGTACTGGTTGCGGAAAAGTAAAAGTATAGATGTTAAGGTTGTGTTCTTCAATTCAATTTTGTAGTAATAAAGAGAAGACTATTATTGCATGAAAGAAATTGTTTAATTTTGCTGCAATAAGAAACTATAACGTCCATGTAATTAATTTAGATATTTATGTGTTTGGAATGAGGTGATCCCTATGCCTAATTTTCGTGTTCATTTTTGGCCAATTTTCAGAACTAAAAACAGCAATTGTACGAATAAACACAAATTATCACAAATATGACACGTTTCTTAAAATAACAAAAATGAGTAAATAAAAATTCACCTTGAACGTGGTAATTTTCTTTTCAAATATGAAACATGTTTTAAAGTCATCATTTGTTTCTGTGTAATTTAAAACGCCTTATCTTTTAAAATATAGTTTCCAAAATTAAACAATTATTTCAGTATTATTACATCGATATTGGTTATGACTGATGCTTTTTGGTTTATTCTAATCTTTGTTCATTATGTTTTCAGTTTTTGAGTTAGTAAAAATTTTCACTTACATGCTGACAAAGTCTAGTTGTCTAAACAACTTTTCCACATATATCGTTGTCAATTCCGTTATTGAACAATAAACGAAAACAGCTTTGCGAATAAAAATATTTTCGGCAACGAGACCCATTTTCACCTCGATGGGTTCTTTAATAAACAGAATCCATACTTTGACTCGCAAAATTCACAACTGAGTCATAAGAAACAAAAACATTCTTAACATGGTGAGACAAAGTCTTGAAAACATATTGTTTCAGCAGGATCATATCATTTGCTATATCGTTAGTGAAATATTGACACTCTTTCACGAATCCTGGTAGCGTTCTCGCCCATTTTGGCGACCAGAGCTATATCCTGACTTCCCTAGATGTGATAATTAACACCTACTTAACGACTTTGCCGACTATGCCCAATTGACCAGTATTCAATTAAATAAAACAAAACCAGACTTTGGTGGTAATTATAAATCATGACCTATAATCTACGATTTATTCAGAACAACGTAGCAAAACATCAGTAACTTCTTTCAAATATTTTCTAGACAGATTCATCTTATATACAGGCTTCAGTCTTATAAGAATGCCACATTCTTTCGATTAGTCAAAGTTGTGTGTTTTTGGCTGTGTGCTCTTTATATTCGCTGAAGTTGTTTACAATACAAGTTAACAGTGATTGTTTGATATGTTCCTAAAACTCATCAATCAACAATTTCATTGATCTTCATCAAATAAACAATCAAATCTTTTTTCGGTGCAACATAACCTTGGAAGAGTGTTGCACCAAATCAGTTGAATTTCTTAGTCTGTATGTAATGTCTTAGAATTTGAGTGCAATATCCACTTTATAACGCAGATTAACAACTAATCAGGAGATGGTTCATTATCGTCGCGTGGAGTATTTGTTGAACATTTGGTAAGACAAATTAATTTGTTATTATCTCATAATTCATGTTTTTTGTGCTATTTTCTGAACTTCCACTTCTTTCCTAGCTGATAAAGGTGCAAACAAATGGTTTCATTAGTCGCACTAACTTTAAGCACACTATTTTGGTCTACTAGAGTATCATCGGTCAAACTAAGATCATCCGATTAAAGTATATTACTTACCATATTTAACTATTAAAACTATAAATTAAAAGATTGTCATCATACATCCCAAATAAGTGCTATCCAAAAATAACTTGCAATCCCAGCGTCTGTATCGGTATCTTGGTTTCAAAAGAAAATATATTTCAATATGTTATGATTGAATTTGTTATAAATTATGTTTCTTTGATTGCTTATGAATTATTTTGTTACGAAACGTTTTTTTCCATCGTGATGTAATCTATAATTTTTGGTGTTTGTAATATTTGGCGGATATATTACAAACACAACAGAATTGATTTGATGTTATTTACTAGTAAAGGTTACAGAACAAAAAATTTCCAAACTTTGATAAAACAAAATAATATTTATGAAATTTTGAACATTTATTTGAACATTTTTATATGAAACAAGATAACCTTTATTTTAATGTGAATTAAATCAAGTTATTTGTTAAATATATTAAAAATGGTGTACAACAAGATAATTCTAATTTGGTGCAAATAAGTCCAAAAAAATATATAATATATAAGATTAATTCTCTTTGATTTGCAACAAGGTACCCTACATTGGATATTCATTTGGCTGGCTGCAACTAAAACATTCTATACAAAGAAGAGAAATTGGCTTAGAAACAAAATTTGATTATCATCTCCTCATTGAAAAAAGCTCATCGTGTTATAGAAAAAAATCCGTTTGAAGATTCTAAATGTCTATAACAATACAATCTTTGTTTCAACTCTTTCATATCTATCTCCTTTAAGAAGTGTTGCTTTCAAAAGTTATACTAACCTAGAATTAAATCATAAGACAAATAGAAAGACAAATCATGCAAAAAAATAAATAAAAAATCATTAAAATATCTATGTTACAAAATTAAGATGATACGTTCTTAGATTTCATTTAATTTTTTTTTTTAAGGAAAAGAAGAAGTTCCCATTCTCCTCAACATGAAAAAGAGTGAGAGAAGGGGCCACGGAACGGACTACAAGGCCTCGACGACGGTTACGGGAACGTCAGTTGCTCATAGAGAGCTAGAGAACCCAACATTCAAAAAATTAAGTGGACATCAACATAAACTAAAAAAAAATCAAAAAAAACTAAAAAATTTTAAATAGAAGTCGAAAAGAAGTTTTCTTCATAAATTTTGTCCACCATTTTAATCCGAATTTAAAAAAGGAAACAAATCGTGTTTTTTAATTTTTTTTTTGAAAAAAATCTGTAAAACTGGAGAAATATATTAACGCAGGCATGGAGAAGGATTCTCATCAGCCTGAATCCTTGGCCACTGTCACCATCAAACCGGACTATGCACCATCAGAATCTTTCAGCAGTTCTGAACCACCACCAGTAAGTACATTTATTTTATTTATTTATTTTAGTTTAGGATTAAAAAGTTTTTTTTTGCTAAGAACATTATTTGAATTAAAAACGTTTGTTATAATATTTTTTGGATTAAAAATACTTTCCAAAATGTTTGTTAATTTTGAACGATTTTTGTTTAAGATTTTCTAAATTATTTTCTTTGCCCTTTTTATATGTATAGGGGAGACTAAGAATAAATATTTTAAAAACACACATAACAGCTCATGCATAACATTATTTGATGTTTAATGATGCGAAACAATTTTTTTATCGGTAAGACACGCTCTTACAATACAGGTTGCTACTGACACGTTATATTGAACATCTGCGAGTTCTTGAATGAATAGACATGTGATTGCATTGATACCTAGTGTCGTAAATAATCTTACGCTCATTTTATTTGAATTGATTGATAATGTATTATTGGTTTTGTTAGATTTAATATTTCCAATAGTAACGATATCAAAGTAACGTTAATAGTTTCAAGGTTCAATTTGAATCATACTCATTAATTTATACATTTTTATACTCATAATTTACTCATTTTAAAAATAATCTAAGAATTTACTTAATTATTAAATTGAACCTATGTCCAATTATTTAAATTTTTTTATTTATTTCTAAATTGAATATATAACTAATAAAGTATCAGCAATAATAAAGTCAATCCAGTACCATATTTTTGCTTTCTATTTACGCTTTCAATTCCAGTTCAAATATAGCGATTGCCCTTAAACGTATCAGCTTTTCTATAAGTTCATTTTAAATAAAGGAAACTTTTTCCTTACGCGAAAATTAGATTCTCTATTTCAGTGTAGAGTATCAAGTAAAAATACTTACTCCAATGTAAATTGTGAATTTCTAAATGACTTTTAATTGGTTTTAAATAACAAATTATTGCTTTAATGGATTGCGCTCCTTGAAACGAATCATATTTGTCAATTAATTGATACTGACCTAACAAACAACGTAATGAACGTTTCTGACAAAGATTTAATAAGTGGTCGCAATGTATATAATTTAATATAGTTCTAAGAAACATTGCAAAACGTTCTCTTAACATGCAAGATATTGTATAAATACGTGACTCTATTTATAAAAATTTAAGTTTCTTTCATTTTTACCTCTACTTATATACACAAAAATAGTCGGCGGAGTTTTGATAAATTACGGTATGCCTGAGTCCAATACATCTATTTGTAATGTTCAAAAGTACTCGACTCTTGTGATCCTTATCGATGCAGAAAGTTGTTTTTGTATGCAAACAGAAGTAAGTACTAAAACACCTGCAAACCCAAGTAATTACGGTTTTTGCAATTTTTTCAAGCATATTACATTGAATCATCGCATCGATCTTCAACCAATCTCAACATTATAAATAGTTCATGGATACCTCACTTTCTGGTCACAACCAGTTCAAGTTCTGAAATCGTCATAACACCATAGCACTAAAGATCATGAAAGACGTGCGAAGCGTGATGGATGGGTGGAAGATTGTAGTTCTTGTACTTGTTGGAATTATTCTCCACGTTTTTGCGGTTTATGGGACTAGACCTTGATATTCTGGTTATAAGTGAGCGAAAGATGTTATTGTGTTTAGAGTGGTGTGGGTTAATCTAGTAGGCGTAACGTGTTTTGTGGTATTATGCAGACTGGAATTCTTTATCTTATTCGGTTGGTTTATCCGTTAACGACGTTGTTCAGGTCTGCATGCCTGTAAACGATTCCAATTTTCGTAGCATTATCTACATCTTCAACAATAATCTGATCGAGGTATCAAGATCTTACAATGCACCAAATAAAAACGTAGACAATTTTCTATGTTAACCCTTTAACGAGCAAATCATTGATTCGTTATTATCAATAATTGACCTTATTGACCACTTATTGTGGTCTTTATAGAAGCCACTAACCGTTAAAGGGTTAAAATCACATCTGAGCAGATTGTTTGATTTACACCACAGGTTGTTGTACCGAATTATAATACTTCTTTTTCTTCATTTTCTCATTGGGAGCCATCTTGCAGTATCTCTCCTACATTATCTTCCCATTTTATCTCTGGCCTGACGTTCTTCTTTTTTCAATTATTCCTATGTCTATCTTTTTTCTGGGAATTCTGTCTTCTGGCACTCTATTTAGGTGTCCATACCAGCTCAGCTGTTGCTTTTCTCCGACACTATTAAGGGTATTTGTTCTAAATCATCATTTTCATTACTCAATTTCATCAATTTCAATCACGTTTCATGTTTATTTCTTTTCGGCCATATTTCGGTTCCATATGTAGAGGTTGGTGTGCATACGGTTTAATAGATTCTTATTTTTGTGTTGGTTCTTACATCTTTTTTACCTATGATTGTGTTGTTGATTCTTATAATAAAAGCTGCTGAATCTACTTGTGATAGCGTTTGCAGATTGGATTTAGCACAAATCTCCGAATACGATGTGTAAAATTGTCAGTAAATTCTTCAATCTACTCCAGAAAAGATGAACATCGCGTGTTTATTCAGTTATTTTAAACCCAAAGCAACATCTTTCGCGAATAGTGTTTCCTCCAGTGGGATATATTCATTCACATTGTTTTTTATAAACTTGAATACATTTTGAAAACATATCTGTGATGGTAGCTAGTTTATCCAAACTTTTTTCCTCGTCTTTTGTTTGTCAAGAAAATAAATGTTCGTTAGGGCTTGTTACTTTTTTGACCTCCATGTCCATGCCTCTATTTTTGTGTTATTAGCATACCTCCTAAAATATTGCGCGTGTCCATGCCTCTATTTTTGTGTAGGAATCACAGCAAAACACTCATCTGTACTCATCAACAATACCATGAAGTAACTTGTCGTCATACGTTCGTCTGAAACAAAGTCCCAGCGTCATTTAGCGTCACAAAAAAGCTCCTCACAAACAAGGTGTAGTCATAGAAAGTGCACTCTTAAGTCTGTCTATAAAACAATCGATGTTGAGTTTTTTGCTTTTATTTTAAGCTAGACTTGCTTAATGTCAATTACCATTTCCACCAAAATAAGCCACGTCTCCGATAATTAGAACGTTTTGAGCTTTGAACCACCTCATAAAACAAAAGTAATAAATGCGCAAGTAGACATTAACCATGCAAATTTTTTGCGGTCAAGTCAACTACAATGAACATAAAGAAATATAATCCTTACCGTTTTATTCCTCATTTTGATCTTAACAAAGGGTTTTTCATGAACTTTCTATTTTAATAAAACATTTTGTGTGTGAGACATTCTAAGATTTCTCCATAATAAACTTATTCACATAGATCAGTGATTTAACCAGTGATAACCGTGCAGAAAATTCATTGTTGCATGCGCTATGTGACACGTAACGGCGTTTTATTAAAACTAGATGCTGTTAAGGTCCATATCTTAAAATTTAAACCTAAAGACATTGATTATTATCGAGCTATCAGGACCATTGACTGCGACGAATAAAAATCCACACCAAAGAATAACATATTTTTGAATGCATTTGCAACTAATAAATCTCTTGAGGATTGCTTTCTCTCCAAATACGACAATTTTGCTGGTTGACATAGCCATTTATCCAAAAATGGATCTCGTTGTTAACGATAATTTTCCGTCCGAAATTATGGTGCAATTCCAAACAATTCAGAGCTCAATTTATGAGTGCTAACGTTTAACTAACGATCACTAACCATGTGATTTCATATAATTTCTTCAGCACCCTAAACAAGAGATACAGTGCTGGTTTCATTAGGAACTAATAATGATATCATAAATTTGAAAAGTGGGTATCTCAAGAACTAAAATGTATTTTTCAAAACTCTCCTTTTCTTTTTCTTTTTTTAGTTTGTATTTTATTTAACTGATTTTTATAAATTTCAAGAATTATTCTTTATAACTGCTCAATATTTGATGAAGATCTCATAATAACTCGATTTTATATGATTTTGTAAAATAGTTATCAGAATATTATAACTAAAAGAATATTTTCATAAACTTCAAGCATTTATATCTTAAAAACTAAACAGCGTTTTCTGCATTTTTTTACATTAAAAACCGGATACTTATTTTTATAATAATGTGGAATATTTAAAGAATATTGCATAAAAACACGATTTTTTAAATTAATCATGAGAGTAGTAACTTTCTGTACTGACCTTTCTTATTAATTTTAAATACGTATTTTTAAAAACATTACATAAACTTGCTATTTAACAAACGTAATTTATTGCATACCTTGCAAAATATAAAATCATAAAATGAATTAATAATTACCGATTAATTTAATATTCAGATAAAATTCAGATACATCCTATAACCTCTTTGTGCGCTTTCAAATTCAACTAATGCTTTGATTGCAAAATTTTCCGCGTAACCTAACTGTAAAAGGATAATAAGCTTGAATATTGGAGTTGGTTTTTTTATGTTTAAACTAACGGTCTTGCTGATCTTTAGCAAAACGGTTGTTTTGAATTTAATAGTTAAAGAAATATTTTGTCGTTAGCTACACTGTGACCAAGATACAAACGACCAGGTGTTGTCTTTAATGACATCTGCAATGTTCCAGTTGGTTACTGGTTTTTCAAAGAAATTTCATTATTTAGCAAAGTAAGATTATAATTTTTTAGATATTGAAACTTGATATTTTCAAGTAATCATCTCTTGTATAAAACAATTTATTTCGTATGAAGAATTCGCAGATCTTTTTAATTTTTAGGATTGTATGATTTATGTGTATCCATGCTTATTAGAAATCATAATTGGTACTCACTTCACCAATAAAGATAATCAATTATGAGCTTTCTCCACTTCATTTATCGTTGCGTAATGGGCGTGACAAATTTAAGACAGAATTCGATGCAAATTTTCAAATAGTAACCAATAATTTTGCGTTGTATTATACAATATAGTCCAGTCCTAACTTATTCTACTGACTACTGATGTATTATTAATTACATAAACTTTGCTATAAGAAACGTTATTTATAATTTCTGTAAC